AGCTTTGATATAAATACATATAACATACAACAAGCGTTGACAACAATTCGAGATAGAAAACTAACTGTAGGCGTGAGGTAACTATTGCCTACCGTGTACACAGCTTGTAAAGTACGTAATAGATAAAAGTTGAGATTGCTCTGTTTTGTCTCTATCTAGAGTGAATATCTCCTAGAGTCGCTCTACTGTGCACGGTGGGCAGGAAGCGAATATAGGTTGCATAAAAATGTCGACAAAATCTGAAAGCAGGGTTGTATTTGTTGATATCTTAAGGTTAAGAATCCGCTTAAATTGAAATCCTAGCTGCTCCTGTTTTAAAGATATCCATATTTTATATACTTCTGATAGGATATATTTGGAAGGCGTACTTCTCGATAATTAGAGCATATTTATACGAAAAGAAATCTCATACATATCTGTTCCCCTTTTTTTAACTCACTAAAACGTATCAAATCAATGTGAAACATTTTAATTTTTCCCTACCGAAAGAATAATTGATCGAGATTTATTGGGCGCTACCGGTATACAACTTAGATAAAACACCACAATTACCTTTTTCTGTATCGTGAACTTTCTCATTACAAACACTTTCAATATCGCAATATAGGTATGTATGTATACAATATTGTATGCTATATAATACGGTAGTAATTTTTTATTAAAGGTTTGTTGCTATAAGCAAGTAGCGCAGGCAAGTCGAACTGCGCTTGTGCAAGAAATAAAAATGCTCTAACTTAGGCCAACGGTACTCCGCATAATAAGTAAATAAATTCAAAGCTTGTATGAGATTTATTTTGGTATTTATGTACTCTTCTGTCAGGAAATAATGACTATTGTACATCCAGAACACAAATGCGATCATAAAGAAAATCGCATGAAAGTATGCGCTTTGTGTGTAGGGCTGCCAGACGTCTCGGTTTTCCCGGATATGTCCCGGTTTTAGACTATTTGTCCCGGTGTCCCGGTCCAACCTTAAAATGTCCCGGGTTTCATTTAAGTGTCCCGGTTTTCGATTTGATTGCACAAATTTTGCTTAAAAATGACTACGCTGAGAGAAAAAGGCGTTGTAATATTAAGAAAAATTTTATGAATTTACTGGGGGAATTTACTGGGGGGTATGTACCTAAATACGTTAAAATGACATGCACAGAGTTTTACAATTATAGCATAAGCCAGAAGTTTTGAAACAAGCTCACAGCAACGAAACAAATGACTGATATTTTAATGTCACCTTGTATTTGTTTTTTTTTTTTTTCGTGAAACCTAGATTACTTATAAGTACCGTGCCGTACAAAATTATTGGCTCGGAGACACTTTCATCTGATCACAATTTCTAATCAGATCTTTTAGAAAAATGTTTAAAATGTAGCTTTTGAGCCAATTAGTAAAGTGCAAGTCTGAAGTTACCAGAAAATTTCGTTGATTTTTTGCAATTATTTATTTTTTGCTGACAGTGTCTTCCACATACAAAAAAATGTCGAACATAGTTTGTATGGAAGAAACTCTCAGTAAAAACAATACCAAATATATTGCCTCGTTCAAAGCCATGAGCAAAATCGTGAATACATGGTTTTCCGCAAAACAAGCGGATCTTAGTAATTTTGATAAAAATCTTAACGAACTCCGCACAGCTTTGAAAAGTACTGGAATTTCTCAAACTGTCAAAATCCATTTTATCCTTAAACATTTAAAGCAATCTATTTCATTATTGAATAACGATGGTTTAGGATTATGGTCCGAGCAGGCCGGGAAGTCAGTTCGTAGGGAATTCATTAAATTCTGGGAAAGATTCAAAATAAATATGATTGATAAACCAACTTTTGTGAGTCGGCTGAAGAAAACTGTAATGACATTTTCATTCCAGCATATATAAAAACTTAACTAAATAATAAAATATTTAAATACTAAAATGCGTGACTATATTATATGGTAAGCCAACAAAAAAAATAAAAGGAAACAAAAAACAAATATAAAAAAATAAAGCAAGAAAAAAATATAAAAAAATAAAACCAAAAAAAACCAAAAAAAGAACAAAGAGGTGCAAAGTAAGTTGCCTCTACGTGGTGCGCCTTGGAAACGATTGAAACCGGCTAAGAACTTACATAAACTTATATTTTCACATAATATATATACACACATTTACTCACACATACATTGTTGAATATTTAATTCACAAGGATGTTTTTCTCTTTCGCAAAAGTCGGTCCTATCATAACTATGTAAAATGTGGATATCTTTAAAACAGGAGCAGCTAGGATTTCAATTCAAAGGGATTCTTAACCTAAAAATATCAACAAATATAACCCTGCTTTCAGTTTTTGTCGACATTTTTATGCAACCTATCTTTGCTTCCTGCCCACCGTGTGTGTAAACTTAATTGAGAGAGGAGATTTTTATTTCAGTGAAACTCTAGAGACATTTCTCTACCGTGTACGTTTAGCTTTATCCTCTGTTACTACAGACCAGCGGGTTTGCATAGCTTTTATCCTAGATTTACAAAAATTTCATTTTTTTCAAGTGATATATTTTCACTATGAGAATTTGTTAATGCGCTCCTGAATTTTGAAGAGCAAAATTGTCATTTTGGATACATTCTCTTAACGGATCTCTGTTTATTTTTTAATACATAAATCGATAATTTGATATTGGGAAATATAGAAGTTTTACATACATACACGCATACATATATGCAGTTTTATTACCCGAAAGCATTAAACCTTACACTTTGTCTCCTCTCCTTTGTTTTGAATACAACTAATTTTAATTTTTCTTCTCACGCTCTTTCCAGTTCCGCGATATCAATTGTCCATGGCCGCCTTTGTAGGCAAATAAAAATCACTGTTTTGTGTAAATAATAAAAAAATATATATATATGTACAAAAAACGACTGACACCGAGAAGAACGACAACTGTCGCAAATCAATTTATATCAATCATAATTAAGTGTGAAATAACAACTTAAACGAAGCCAGCAAGTGAGCACAGTACTACGCCTGGCATGAGGAGGAAGGACTAGAAATTAACAACGGTGGACGTGCGTCGATGTAATTGTCAGCATTTGAATTTGATTAATAGCAATATAGCAGCTGAAAACGGATGCTTGAGAGGCTGTAAAGTGAATAGCAAATGGGAGATAACACATTCTATTGTTAGTTATATAGATATCAAGCATAGCACTAATGCATACAGAAATTCAACATTTTTGATACTCGCTTATTTCGATGCGCATACATACAATCTCCGGAAATTCAATTAGCTGCTGAACAGATAAATAACGAACTAAAATATTTGAGATTTTGCAACTTTCACTTTGCGTTTGCTATAGGCGTGCTCGAGCCACCAGCCAGCTGAACTACGAAATTCCTCCTGTATTTCATTGGCATTTAAGTAAGCAACCGAAAACCGCAAGCAAAGGAAGGAAGGCAGTTAAATTGCACAAATTAATAGTTTTCGTATAAACCACTAACTACAACTACAGCCACAATAATTGCTTCTTACTGAAACGGCTACCAGGCACATCAACAAAGATTTGCACTCGTCAACTGGTGGTCGACTGACGACAGCAGCCGACAAGTTAGCTAGTGGATTGACTGCCGTAATTCCCAACAGTTTCGACAAATCCAACACTGCATTGTCAAGCTGCAGGCACAAAAATCAACGCACATTTTGGGCCCACCCACTCACGCATACACTCATACACGCATACAGCACAAAGAATTGGCTGGCTGGCCTGGCATGCTTTTATTGCCCACAACTGACAAGCCATACCAACCGGGAGACAAATTCAATATTGCTGCCGTTGTTTGGAGTTTATTAAATTGATTGGCCGTAACTAATTGAACGACCAAGCGAACGCATGCCAACGGCAAGCAGAACAAGCAACAATAATAACCACAACTGTGCAGTTGTATAATTGTATACGAGCGTATGAACAGCAATGAAATCCCAGCTGCGGGCGCACAAAATACAGTGAAACAAAGCAAAAACAACATAGCTGCGAAAATTTTCAATTTTATACGCACACAACAACACTTCCACTAGCAGGCATACAGGTAAACTAATACACAACTACACCACCTACATATCCATATACATATATATATATATATATATACAGTTAGGCACACATACACACACACGCTTCCATACATATATACACATTTTGAACACTAATAAGTTAAGCAGCACGTAGGCGCACACGCACGCACCCACACGCAAGCACCCGCACATTGCTTAATGATCACGATATTTCATTCAGTGTTGGGGTATAATTTAATTAGCCAAAATAGCGCAACGTTGGAAGCAGCTCAAGCAGCATATACTCAACCAGCAGCAACATAGGGGGGCGCAAGGGGACGAGCAGCAGCAGCAGCAGCCGCTGCAGCCGCAAGCAAAATCACAAGCGCAATTGCAACAACAACAACAACAACAGCAATTACAGCCGCAGGCAAAGCCCCAGCCGCAGCAGGCGCTAGAGCAATTAGCTGGGCAAAAACATCAACTACTGCAGAAGCAACAACAACAGCAACAGCAACAACAGCAGCAACAACAACAGCAGCAGCAACAGCAAAAGCAGCCAGCTCAGCCGCCACTACCAAGTCGTGTCGCGACTGTAGCTGTATCTGTACCAGCAACAACAAGCGTCACATCGACATTTAATACCGCTAACCCAACAACCACAACAATAACAACGGCAACAACGGCGGCCAGAGTCTTCTCGCGTTACGATAGCATTGAGGAGCTGCAGCAGCGTAAGAGCCGCAGTGGAAGCGCAATTGGAATAGCGTCAGCGGTCGGAGCACAGGGTGCACAAGGTGCTCGTGGTAGCATAGCGATCGGCAGTGGAGCTGGAGTGGGTCCTGGTGGTGCTGGTATTGGAATTGGCGGCAGTGGGAGTGGTTTGTATGCATCTGCGGGAACGCGTTTACCAGTAGCAGGTGGCGGCAGCGGCGGTGTTGGTGTGCGCGGTTCACGGAGTGGTAGCATAGCAGTTGGCTTAGATGGTCATCGTACAGTGCTGAGTCCCAGTGGTGCAGGAGCATCCTCCGCGGTTAGTCAGCAGTTAGGCAGGGGTAGCGTGAATGGCTATTCATCGTCGGTAGCAGCAGCAGCAGCAGCGGCGGCAGCAGGTGGTGGAGGTGTTGGTAGTGGCATTGGCGGCAGTAGTGGTGGCACACAATTGATAGGCGGTGGTACGACGACGGCGCGAGCGCGACTCTCGATTAGCTCACCATCAGGCGCTGGTGTAACAGCAGCAGCGGCAGCAACGCACGGTAGTCTAACAGCTGTGAATGATTTCTCTGGTACAGGGCTCTTAAGTATAGGTGGCGGTGTTGGTATAGCCGGTAGCGGCAGTGCCGTTGGTGTTGGCCCAGGCGGTGCTGGTACTGGTGTTGCAGCAAGCGGTGTAACCGGGGGTGCAGGAAGCGGTGGCGGTGGTGGTGTTCCTAAACGTCAGGGTAGCTTTTCCAACGTTTTTTCGAAATTAATCGACGGTATGCCTGCCGGTACAATGTTCTCCAAATTCAAGAGTGCCAATACGGCATCAACATCATTACAAAACATCACCGATGCTAATCCGATTAGCCAATACTTTGAGATCGGTAAGCAAGTGGCGTGTGCGGGTCCCGAACTAGTGTGGCGGATACATGACGGCTATCGGAAAAGTGATGGCAGGGTGAGTCGAAAATTATTGTTTACAAATTATCATCTAATAAGTACCTAAGTGCTATGTACATTTGTATGTTTATCCGCGGTTTTTTGAAATTAAAGGCAAATCGGCTCGGTTATGAAAACTGGCAGCTTTGAAGTAACTATCCAAATTCACGCATATAAGATAACTAGATTTCCCTCACGCGCTTCGCTGAGTGTAGGAACTTTCTGCCTGTTGCATTAGGTTTAATTTATTTCAAAAGCACTCAACATATATGTCTAGGAAGTTGGCTTATGGTATGACGCTGTTCTGTACAATAAAAAAAAATCAAAAAAGTCGTAAAAGTTGAATCCTTTCCTTACTAATATTATAAATCCGAAAGTGAGTTTGTTTGTTTGCTACGCTTTTACGCTTTAACTACTCAACCGATCATCATGAAATTTTGTACATTGCTGTCATTTAGCCCAACTTAAGATATAGGATACATTTAATCTCGATTAGACAAGGGGGCCTGGCACCTCCCATACAAACAGAATTTTTCATACTGCATTTCTCAGGAAATATTTTTGATAGATTGCTGAAACTTGGTATGGAGATATATAAAATCATTATCTACTCATGGATGAGGGCTACCACCTTTTAAAAAAATCAAATTCAACTTCAATTAAGGGAGTTATTTATTTGAAAATTATATTAAAAAAATGCATGTCAGAAGGTATAGAAAAGCTGTAGTTTGAATATATTTTGAAAAGGGTTGCCACCTGTTTGAAAAATCAAATTTGAATTAATTATACGCAAGCTATCTGAGAATTAAAATATGATTGTCTAACGAAATATTGTTAAGAAATCTTTAGTTTGAAAGTTTTGAATAATATTTAAGTCTTTCGCAAGTGTTGCCACCTTTTTAAAAATTAAATTCAATTATTTGTACAGTAAAAGGCGCGCAATGGTTGTGGCGGTTGTATTATCGGTAGTGATTTGAGTTTTACCCCTGCACAACCCAACCTTGGTGTCTCCGAATGAAGCTTTAACGCACAATAATACTGGCCAATCACATCCATTAGGCCAATCGTAACACAAAAGCATTCGATATACTCAATGGTGCAACAGGTCGATTTAATCTGACATTCACGGCACCTTTTCTAACTTGGCGATTATTCGTAATAACTCCGGCGCCACCTGGCAGCCCTTTTTGGCAATAGCATTGCCTTTACCGCTACCAATACATGTTTTGAATATTAGCCAAAGTGGATCATAAATAAGATTTTTAGTAATAGTTTAACTCCAGCGCCAACTGGCGGGTGAAATTGTGAAACTACACTATCCAGAGAGCCACTCAGAAGCACACAAAAAACTTCGTGAAAATCCGTCTGGGCATTTAGGAGGATTTCACTCAAAACCCCATCTACAGAAGAATTATATATTTGTTTTTGCACAGCGCCATGCCCTCTTTTCAAATTGCCCATTTTTCTCCATGAGTATAAGATTGATTTTATATATCGCCGTACCCAGTTCCAGTACTCTACCCTTTTTCCAATAGCTCCAATTTTTTCCAAGAGTGTGCGATTGATATAACATGTATCTCCATACCAAGTTCCAGTACTTTACCATGAACACTTGCGGATATATGCAGTATGAAAAATTCAGTACGTATGGGAGGTGCAACGCTTCCTTTTCCAATAACCCCAATTTTTCTCCATGAGTATGCGTTTGATTTTATATATCTCCATACCAACTTCCAGTATTCTACCATGAACACTTGCAGAGATATGCAGTATGAAAAAATCGGTTTATATGGGAGGTGCCACGCCCCCTTTATATATCGAAATTTTATTAAGCCTATTTACTATCTTTGGGACGTCTGAAGCAGGTGTCCGAAATTTGAAAAAATCGATTAGGCCGTTCTCAAGCTTTGCGAACACATAAAAAACGACTTTCAAAATATATATGTATTAGTATAGAAGATTGGTATGAATCGAAATGGTTTTGAATATGTATCACAATATGAGTGCCACACGAAAGAGGTTTAAAAAGGTTGCCAACTGTTCAAAATGTTAAGTTCAAACTATTCAATAATTTAAATGAATTATTACAACATGGGTGTCAATCGAAATGGTTTTTAAAGGGCTTCATTTCAAAACTACATGTAAAGGGTTTCCATATGATGTAATGTGGAACGATTTTCCGTCATCCCTTGCCAAATATGGTTTGGAGACAAACCGGTTTCGGCGTTGTGCCATCTTCAGTGTCATTTTTCGTTCTCGAAGATGGCACAACGCCGAAACCGGTTTGTCTCCAAACCAAATTTGACAAGGGATGACGGAAAATCGTTCCACATTACATCACACTCATACCCTGTCGGAAACACCAACAACGAAAATGAGGTTTCCATATGTTTAAAATCTCAAATTGAGTTCAGGGGATAAGTCAATTGAAAAAGTATGACAAGTGAGAACTTTAAAAAAAGTTTTAGTTTGAAAACACTTTGAAGATGGTTAAACAAATTTTAAACCTTCTGTATTTGAATTGAGTTTTCTTGAAATAAATTTTACTCAATGTGGCACGTAGAAATTACATACACTCAGCGAAGCGGGTGAGAGCGATCTAGTATTTGAATAAAATAAAAATGAAAACCGTTCTGAGTAGCTTTTTAATAGTTCTAGAGTTCCTGGAAAAGAAAAAGAAAGTTCAGCAAAATTACGCCGAAAAAAATATTTTCAAATAAGTCGAAAAGTTTGAGTAAAATAAAGGTTAAAACTGTTCTGAGTAGCTTTTCAACAGTTCTGGAGTTCCTGAGAAAGAAAAAGTAAGTTCTGTAAAATACACAAAAAAATGCTTTCGAAAAAGAAATATAAAAATTAAGACTGTTCTTAGCTTTTCAATAGTTCTAGAAAATTACACCGGGAAAAGTATTTTTTCAAAAAAGTCGAAAATGTTTGATGTTTGAAAAAAAAAATAAAACTGTTACAAGTAGCTTTTCAATAGTTCTAAGGTTACTGAAAAGGAAAAATGTTCTCCAAAATTACGCCGAATAGAATGTTTTTTAGTCAAAAAAGTTAAATTTAAAAATAATTAAATAAAAATAAAAATTAGAGCTGTTCTGAGTAGCTTTTTAATAGTTCTGGAGTTCCTGAAAAGGGAAACAAGTTCTGCAAAAGTACACCGAAATTTTTTGAAAAAAAAATAAACATAAAAAATTAAACTGTTATCAGTATCTTTTCTAAACACCTAGAGTTCCTGAAAAGGAAAAAAAGTTCTGCAAAAGTACAACGAAACAAATTCTTTTTAAAAAAGCTGAAAAAGTTTAATTAAAAAAAATTAAAACTTTTCGGGAATTCTAGAACTATTGAAAAGCTATTCAGAACAGTCTTAGTTTTAATTTTTTCAAAAATTTAACTTTTTCGAACAAAAATTTTTCTGCGAAATTTTGCAGAACTTTACTAGAACTATTGAAAAGAGGATCAGCCCAGTTCAATTTATTTTTTTTCCAAAAATTTTATTTTTTTAATAAAACAACATGTTTTTTTCGGCTTAGTTTTGCAGAACCTTCCTTTTCCTTCTCAGAAACTCTATAACTATTGAAAAGCTACTCAGAAGAGTTTTTTATTTACATGTTTGCCACATGTCGTATGCTGCGCGAATCTGGCATATAGAAGTTTTTATTTCGAAAAATTTTCCAACTACAACTTTTTAAGCCTCTTTCGCCTGACACCTATAATGCCTAAAAATTTCAAATCAATAATTCCCTTAATTCAAGTCGAATTTAATCTTTTGAATAGGTGGCAGCCCTATGGCTACGGTCACCAGATTTCTGTGGACAGAAATCGGAACATATCTAAGGCATCGAATCCGAACAAACAATTTCATTTTTACAATAAAGGGACATAACATCTTTTAATACAACTTTATTTAAAACAAAATAAGGAGAAAAAAATTTTAACTGATCACAAAAATGTATACACACAGATTATACGGTGGCGAGAATGTAAATAGGGAAAAGACATTTTAGCAAGTTTTGGCTAGATTTCTTTTTTAAAAATTGGTTATTATTTTTTTATGAAAATATAGCTTACTATCTAAAAAAAAAACAAGTAATTCAAAATTTCAAATTTTGTAGAAGATTTATAAAAGTTCGACGAAATTTAACAAATGTTGATCAAAATTTTAAACACTTTAATCAGATTTTTTTTAGAATTGTTTTGAGTATGCAGCTTTGTAGCTCACTAAGTTTTAGTATAATAAAGTTCATGTTTTACTGTAGATTTTTTTCAAATTTTTTATTCGCGCATTTTCTACCATACATACTAGTATGTTCGAAAATTTTTTATATGGAGAAAATGAGCAACTCCTACAACGATAAGTCTTAGCTACTTAAAATTAGCACTTTGAATTGAATGGGTTACAAAAGTGCCTACTCAGAACGTTTCTAGGAAATGTAATTGAAAAGCTCAAAACGTTGATGAAACTTTGTCTTTTTTTGAAATTATGACTTCCATGGCCTTTGTTAGATAACGAGGAAAACTTTAATTAACAAATAATAAACATTAAACTATCAAAAGGGGAATAACCATGGGTTGCTAAAATATCTTTTCTTTATTTATATTTTCGCCACTGTATTAAGAGCTTATATTTTTCATATCCATGCATTTTTTGAGGGAGTTAGTATTCTGATGTAATGTGGAACGACTTTCCGTCATCCCTTGTCAAATTTGGTTTGGAGACAAACCGGTTTCGGCGTTGTGCCATATTCAGTGCCATTTTTCGTTGAATTAGTATTCATTTATATACATTTCTCTAAATTAAAGTTTGAATCGTTTCATTAAAAAAAAAACTTAACAAAAAATTATAAAAACCTTAAAAAAAATTAGAAAAGAATGATAGACTGCAGAGAGTACCAGTTAGAATAAAACATAACCAAACATCATAGAAAATAAATATGCTGGCTTTCTTATGGCTTCCTTATATTCTATGTTCTGTGTGATAACGAAAGTGTTTCTACGTTTTTGCGAAAATTTGTTTTTTGGAACCTAGTACAGGGAGACTCTTATTAAATTAATAAAGAAAATAATGAAAATCGGGACCTAATCAGTACAAATATGAAAACTCGGAACACTTGTCTAATCGAGTTGGGCTAAAGGACACCAGTGTGCAATATTGCATGATTATCGGTTGAGTAGTTAAAGCATGGAAGCGTAGCAAACTCACTTTCGCATTTATAATATTAAAGTAAGGATATCGTATATCGTTGGTGTCTATACCAGGACGACGATTACAGATTTACACTGCTTTTCTAATTTATTCGTAAATATATCAGGCAACTTCTCCGTTGAAGAAAGTTAACCTTTGCGTATTTTCTTTTCCTTTCATCGCGCCCTATAACCAAGCTTAAAACTGTTGAGGAAGTTGGGTTTAAATAGGCTAGGGATTTCCCCAAATTCCTTTACTTTCATATCTTCAAGCACTTAGTTATACAGTTAAACGTTCATATGAGACTTTACTTACTCCTCCTTTGTCTCCAAGAAGTTGATATACTAGAAACCGAAGTCCCTTTTTTATGACGAACTGGGGTTTAAAACAAAAAGTGCTGTGCAGTTGCGGAGATTGTTATGTTGAATTTCAAAAATTACGGTCATATGTCCAATATTCTTGTTTCCGTTGAACTGAAAAAAAAAAAATCTAATTCGTATATGTTATTAGAAGTTGTAACAAGTCAGAACTTGTCTGCGGAACATCCAAATTTTACGGAACACCACCATGAATCTTTCGGAAGCCAATGCCGATTGACAATCTTTTGAGTTCATGGATCTTTCACGTTAGTGAATACATTCAAAGGTAGTATTTACTGACTTAAGTATTCACAAGTAATAGATGAGACATCCGGTATGATTATTGATATTCTTAGTGCGACTAGTACTTATCCCTGCCCATAACAGATTGTTATAGTCGGGAACGTTCGCATGCAGGGCATGCGTTGGGTCCGTCGGGGACGAATAGTAGTGATATAAAGGAGATGACCATCGGGTCCAGTAGTTGTTGCATGTAGTCCTGGATCTGGTCCTTCAGTTCACAGTGATGTCTTCTAACTTGTCAAGGAGGAGGCACTACCTCTAGCAATTGCCTGGTGGGTGCTGAGATGGTAGCAGTTGGCAAGGAACTGCTTGCTCAACATGTTGTTGTGCTCCTTGGCAAGGATCATCATAAGCATATTACAGTGTGGATGATAATCTTGCGACATCAGTTCACATCCCTTTCCCGTTCGGAAATAAACATTCGAACAGGTCTGAAGTCCTACTAGTGCCCAGTGACAAAATTTGCACAAAACTATTTAGAACCGGCCGGACATTTACCCTGGTGTGTTGCCAACAATGTTTATACGCCTTTGTTTCGATTGTTGTCGGCGTGCAATTTGAGCAGCACTGTATTTATTGGAAATTGCGATTGCGGCGCGGAGATGCTGTTAAAAACCGTAAGTCGGTCGAAACCAGTATGGCATGGAAGTGGTTTCCCAGCTGCAGCTTGATCTCTTTCACCCAGGGAGGGTGAAAATGTTTGCCGTGTTAAAAAGCCAGCTAAATCACCGAAATAGCCGCTTAGGAAGCTTGGGTAGCTTCGATGTGTACAAATAGGTTACATGTCACTTCTCCCCTTTCCGACATTCGTTTTTAATGTATTTTTTTAGAGCAGAAAGGAGATGAAAAAATAACTTAAAGAAACTTAAATTTCTCTAACTATCTCAGATTTGTGCCATAAGGACACGCTATCAGACTTGGTCTCATGTTAATTTTAATGAGTTCTGCTGTCGGTGATGGGCTGAAGTAGAATTGACTTCAGGGTTTTAGGTCAGATGAATTTTACCAACCAGATTTATTCTTGTTTTTTGTGTTCTAAATCAAATTTTAATTCCGCGGCTGAGAAGGTCACTAATCGCTGCATAAAAAGTTTGCGCCATTTACGTAGCCTCTAACAATGATTTTTAACTCGTTTAAACCTGGGTTTCTGTTTTTTATTAGGAATGTTCAATATTCGTCTTCGAGAAGAAAATTGCAGAAAAACTGCACAAGCCGAGACGCAAGGAAACCGTAACGGAATTGCTGAAAAATTCAGTAAAAACAATGGAAAGATTTCGTCATCCAAGGGTGAGTTGGTACTATTTATTTATTGTGTGCTTTAGAAATTGCGGCCACGTTGAAAGTTGTTATGATATTTTTTTTGTTTTTCATTCTCTATTTATAGATTCTGCAAGTTATGCACACGGTGGAAGAATCAACAGATACTTTAGCTTTCGCCGCTGAACCCATTTTTGCTAGCCTTTCAAATATTTTGGCTTTTCATGTAAGTAAAAGAAAATATATATATAAATATATGTATGTATTCCATGCCCAAAATTCTATGCAATAGAATTTATCGAAGAGAATGTCCAAACAATCGCAAATTTATAATGCTTCAAACATAACACGCTAGAATTGAAAACTTAGTATTGCGTAAATGCTGCGACCCTTCGAAGATGTCATGTCCGTGAATGCGTAAATAAATTTTTTTATTCAATTTGTTAAAACAGTTGTCAGTTATCAGTTCAAGATGGATTCTAATGTTTTAAGGGTCGCTAATCACGAATTTCTATATTCAAAATGGCGGAAGATTTTTTTAATTTATCGGATTCACTTAGAATTCGTAATCGCGTGTTTTGGGTTCGCTGATTACGAATCTGAAGCCGGATTGGAAAAATTCATAATGGCGGACCCAATATGGTGGACAAAAAAATTAAACTCGACTAGATTCGCTTAAAACTTCACAATTGCGGTTCCATAAACCTGGAATTATAAACCTGGAATCAGGTTTTATAAATTCAAAATGGCGGATCAATATCGGATCTATCACATATCACGGAAAAGTTAAAATCGAACGTACGTATATATACGTACATGGCGTATGAGTTACCCAGACGAGTTGAGTTAAGCTGCATTTACATACATGAGGCGATTTTCTAGGTGATTCAACATTGCTCAAGAAAATCACTTGCCGCAAATTAGATACCAAGTCAGCTTTTGTTGGCGATTATCGCCCGTCAAAAAATCGCCTCATGTAGCTGCGAATCGCTTGCGGTACAGCAGTGTTGAAAAATAGGAAGAAGAAGCTTGTTTACAATTCTCCGAGTGCGTGCATGCATTTTATGCAAATTTCAGATGGAACAATAAAATAAGAAATTAAAACATAATTGAAAAAAATAATAATTTTTCATCACTTTACACTCGCTTCGTATGCAGATCTTGAGGCGTTGAGGAATCGTTGCTGCATAAGAAATACTAAAAGTCGCGTCTAAAGCTATACGACCCGTGTGCAGACTGCCTGCCTTCCCCAGACGAGATGAAAATGTTACTCATACGCCATGTACATACGTTCGATTCTAACTTTGGAGTGGAGTTTCCACTTGCCATCAACGTATTCTCTCTGACTACTTGCTTCCTGTGCTTGCTAAAAATGTGGACAATATATTAAATTTTTTAGCAAGGTTCTGCCAAACAAAACTTAATGGAGTACTTACGGCAACTCCTTTCCGCCAGGCATACGCTAAAAATAAAGTCCCATACAAATCCTGTACAACCTTCGAAATTTATAAATGAAATCACCGTTATATCGATTTTATATTTAGTTCACTTTTAACAGATAATTTTGCTAACTGCGAGTATATTTTTTTACCAAGTGTTCCATATATTCGTCCACCAGACAATTTAATGAATTTATAAATTTGCCACAATGGTTTCCAAAAGTCAACTTTGGCAATGCAAATGTACATACACATATTACATAGGCATAGCTCACATACTGGCATGCATGCGAATGTGTGCTTAGGCAGTCAGGCATGTCCGGTAGTTGGTCACGTGTGGCACAATGCGACACATAAACTTTTCGCATTTCGGCTTATGTTGACCACTAATGCAAGGGTTGCAGTTTCCCAACCATAGTGTTTGGTTTCGTTGCGTTCTCGCCCCCGCATCATCTTTACCGATATGACTACATACATGTATGTGCACATTCCCCACTACTGCACGCCCAGTCAATGGTTTCACATATCTACACTTATGTTTGGCATGCTTATGTAGACACAACCACAGGTTGCAGCATAGCACAGCTGATAATGACACTTTGATATGTGGTAGCGCAGGCAGGAGGTAAAGACAAGCTATTCTGCATATGAGTGTATTCATACTTCATACATATGTATGTATGTGCATAGATACAGTACTTATGTATGTGAAATATGTATGCTCTATTTATCAGGTATGTTTGCAGAATATCCCAACTTGACGTGAACTACGCATCGTTTTGCTGGTGGAAGGAGTGTTGTGTGCATTAATGCGGAAATTGATACACCGCAGACAGTTTACCAAGCACACACCACGCCTCCGCTAACCGTCATTTGCATTTGATAACATGTATCTATGAACATACATACCCAATAAACATAGCGCTTGGTTAACAATTCGAAAATGATTGGAAAACCAATCCTTTTTTCGAGTCTCACCTTCGATTATGAATGTGCAATGGGTTAGTATTCGATTCAAGTACTAGGCCATTCTCCAGCAAAACGGAACCTTCGTTATCCAATGTATTTTCGCTTCGGTATACATTTGAAATCCAGCCCACTATATAATTGAAATTTTGTGGAGAGAGAGTGATTGTCTTCTAGTTCCCTTCGAGAATGAGCTGGATTTCACTTTCTCTCTTGTTACTACGGTTTTAATTTTTTTCGAACCAATTTCGAGTGTATGAACGTTGGAAAACTAAGGTTGGTTATGAGTTCGTCCTCAGTTCGATATTCATATTGGATAACGAAGGTTTTTTTCGATGGTTCGCCACAATGTTTATTGGGTAGTTACGTCCCTATACATAAGCACATACGTTTGTATATGTATATTAGACTGTGTCAATTAAAAGGAATGCCTTCTTTTGTTTCGGTCTCATATCAAAATTTCTATGTCAGTTCCAAAAAATAATTGTTGCGAAATTTCAGCTCTGTTGCTCAGTCGTTGTAGGCTTATATTGTAAATATATTCCGATTCGTACTGATTGTTTCTGACACTATAAATAAAAGAAGTTCTTATATTTGCGAGCTCAAAACGTGGACTGCTACAGAACGTTTTGGTCACAGTGCTTTATAAATGCCGCCAGAAATATAATGAAACCCGCCAGAATACAAATTTCGGATAGTTTTTTTTTCTTGCACCTGAAAGCATAAGTATGCGGCAATACTTAATATATGCCTAAAATATAATAAATATGAGTTATAAATGTTTCAACAGCTATGTATGTTTTCTGAGTCTATTTGAGTTAGAAAGAATATAAATTTTAAGTATGAGTCAATAACATGTTGAATAGCTTACTATGTTGCCTTTAAAATGAACCCTATCTCTAACTAAGTAAAACGTAATTTTACCTGAAAATTCAATTAGTAAAAATTCTCTTATGTGCAAATAGTTTTCCACCGAAAACAAATTGATAATGAAGAGTGTATTTAGGAAAATGCTTTATTTTTTTATGAAAGAAGGCCGAAAATGCTCGAAGAAAACCAGATTTTCCCATTTTTTTATCCTGGTGGATTCCGCTCCAAAAAAAAAACTGTTTGGTATTTTTGACTGTTACATTACATTAAAAATGCTGCCTACTTAATCTTCATTTACAAAGTTAATCACTGATTATTTTTTCGAATACTTTTTTATTAACTTCAAAGTAATACAAGGCAAGCGGAGTGAAGCAAGTATATTGAAAAAAAAATGTTGGCTCTTGAATTTTCATATATTGTCTGATACCTCAGAATACGTATGACCCAGATATAATCAAAAATCTGCGAAACCTGAGAAAAAAATTGTTCCCCTTGGTTTAGTTTTCGGCGATTAGGACCATATGCTTTTAAATTAATACAATTTATATATAGGGGCCCGTGATTTTTTAGTCCTGGGCCCGAGTTTCCATTCTTCTGCCCTGGATAGGATTTACCCTTGATTTGTGGGATTTTTTTAACGGTGTCAGTAATTTTTTCCATACGGAGTTGTTAATGGTTTTTCCATGAACAAAACCGTCAACAAAAAACTTGCCAAAAATCAGCGGTAAGTCCTACTAACTTCAAACTTGGGCTTATTATACTGCAGTTGACTACAAGGTAGTTTTTTTAATTTGCTATATTTAATTGTTAAGTAAAAAAAGTATCGGAAACAATTTTTTTAAGGTTCTTATTTTTTCGAGCCCTAACTGAAAAATGAAGATAAGGGCAGAAATTTTCCACAATTATTTTTTTTTTGGGACCAAAAGAAAGAAATAGTTGTTTTATGTGAAACATTCTAATGTAGTATATGAAAGTATGTAGTCAGTATTTATATACAAACATATCGTTGCCTACTTACCTACCACCTGCCACCTCCCCGTAGGGACTTCTGGCCACTTTACGCTTCTAAAAATAGGCGATATTTGATAAGTGATATTTGAGAATTCTATAACGAAAATTTGGAGGATTTCTGTTTCGAAATTGTCTTCATCGCGCAAACTGTATACTACTTTCTATACATAAAGATGTATGTAAAAAAACTTAAAAAATAAAATAAAAAAATTAAATTAACCTGTTAGTATACCGTTTCTATTAATGGGCTAAGAAAAGAAAATAATTTTCGCAGTAGCTTACTACTCAATGAATCGATTACTGGTTTCTTCATTCTTATCTATCGGCAGGCTCAGGAAAAAGCTCGATTCGAGCTGTTTGGGCCGTAGCGAGAAGGATGTTAGATGAGCTGCTGTGAGTGGGTATATGAAGAGGTAGTTAATATTGTCGGGGCATATTATTCAAATTGCAATGTACAGTTTAACCTGATACAATATCCTGAATAGAGTTGTGTCAAAGTAACGCGACCCTCACACAGCAACTCGAGCTCTCCGACGAATGGCCTGTCTTTAATAGATATATTTGTATAGTCGGTCAGCGGATGATGTATTATCATTTCCAAGACAGTCGGTAATGTCGATGTTATGACCGCTATTTTAGCGATCTATTCTTGAGTGTGAATTTTCGACAAATTTGTTTCTGCTTTACTTGTAATTCAAAATACTTCAAACTTATTTTGTCTTACAGACTTCTAGATTAATGCTATAACCCCTTTTAGATTATACATATTATAGTTGTGACTTCTGACTAAAAGTAAATGTTAGTGGAGAGAAAATATGAAAAATAAAACCGGTTTATTTGGTTTTTTTCTTAATTTGCAAATAGAGAACCGGGTTTTTTTCGAATGACCATTTTTGAATAACTTAAAAACCGGTTTTTGAAATAAGGCGAATAATCGAACACCCTAGTATATATGCATAAATATTGTACCTACATATATGTAAGTACATTTTTCTTAGACATTTTATTATTTTGGTTTGTTTTTCTTTAGTGGAATATAGTTATAATTTTTTTCAATTATTTTTGTATGTCTTTATAGGAATCAAAAACTTATGAAAATATTGCTATGCCATCGAATACAGGCGGCACTGGCACACAGAGCAGTCAACAACAAAATACAGCAATACCGCAAAGGCCAGCACATGCGAAGGAGTATAATTTTTTGGATATCGAATTGAAATATGGTTTTCTACAGGTAAGTAAGTATGTGTATATATGTACATACATTCTTATTTATATATGCATGTATGTAGGTCTGCTAGTTAAAAAAATTGTTATAAGCCCATATAAAAGTCATAACTATGTGTAAGCACATACATATTTATGTATTACATATGTATGTATGAGAAATTCAAAACCAATTAATTTCATACTGTTACTCTTATGCAGTCGGTTTAATTTATTAGTCACGGTTAAGAGCGAAATTTCAACTTAAATATAAAGTAAAAATAAATTTAAGAATCTGTTTGGAAAATCATCAACAGATATTTATTTTTGCTTAAAGTTATGTGCCGTCATTAATGTGTTTGTGTAAAGTTATAATGCCAGCTGAAAATTTAATTCGTTTAAGGGAAGAGCTTTTTTGAAGTGAAACTTCTTTAGCGGAGGTTGCAAATTCAACGGAAATTGCACACGGAAATGGTGGAACGGAAATAGTGCAACGGAAATGGTTGGGACGGAAACAAGTGCTTCTTGAATGTATGTTATTAATTTAATAAAAAAATGCTAATAAAAGGATAAAGAATAACATTTAGAAAAAGACCAATACAAGAATGAAAGTAAAGATGAGTACGTACATAGATAAAGAAATAAAGGCAAAGGTAAAAATAAAAACAAAAACAAAGATGCGTAAAAATAAAGTTATAAATGAAGAACAAGGTAAATATAAACACTTTACTTATATAAAGGCAAAGGTGAAGGGGAATATGTAGAAGAAGAAAATGATGAATACAAAAGTAAAAACAAAGATAAATATAAAGAAAAAGATGAGGATGAGGACACCGATAAAAGTAAAGATGAAGATAGAGGAAGAAAGATTAAAATAACGGCAATTATAGAGAAAAGGATATAGATAGAGACACAGACTCAATCTGGTAACAAGTTTGGGATTTTGGAGATTTTCGGGATTCTCGGGACTTATCGATATAATAACCGATATTTTATTGGTTTTGTTATCGATATTGTTATGGATTTTTGTATCGGTTATTTATCGATTTTGTTGTCGATTATTTATCGATTTTGTTATCGATAAGTTTAACGATTTTGTAATCGATTTTGTTATATATTTTTATTAATTTTGTTATAGATATTTTTATCGATTTGCTAATTGATTTTGGTACCAATGGTATTACAGATTTTGCAATCGAAATTTTTATTAAACTTGCCATCGATTTTATCGATATGTTATCGATTTTTTTAACGATTGTTAATCGATTTTGTTATCGATTATTTATCGATTTTCTTTTCGATATTTTTATCGATTATTTTTCGATTATTTATCGGTTTCGATATCGATGTTTTTTATCAAGTTTGTTATCGATTTTGTTATCGATATTCTAATCGACTTTTGTTATCGATTTTGTTAGCGATTATTTATCGATATTTTTATAGATTTTGTTATCCATTTCTATAGATTTTGTTGTCGATATTTTTATGAATTTTCTAATCGATTTTGCTACCATTATTATTATCGATTTTGCTATCGAAATTTTTATCGAATTTGTCTTTGATTTTGTTATCAATATTTTTATCGGTTTTTTGTCGATATTTTGTTGGATGTTACTATCGATTTTGTTATCGATAGAGTATAAAGATGAAGGAAAGCAGAATATCATAAATGTAATTAGAACAAACATGGTTAGAGGTAGGGATCTAGATAGAAAAAAGACAAAAATATAACCTTAAACAAAAGCAGATATATGCACATATGTAAGTATATTGGTTATATATGCACATATATATGCACATATATATGTATATTGGTTATGAGACAAAATAGATACATATCGTCACCTGAAATGCAAAAAGGCGTAACAAACATCATCGTTGAAATGCAAAAAGTCATATCTAATAAAAAGTTCAAAACTCACGTTTTGATTTATGTGATGGATTTCATCAAATTACAGCTCGCCACATAATTTTATGAAAAAAAAAAATTAAAATATTAGCTATGACTTTTTCCATTTCATTTACGATGTTGTTACATCTTTTTGCATTTCAGGTGACGACATGTAACGTAAGTTTCACTTCTCCATTGTGGCCCAGGCGCACTTACTTTTTTTAAATGAATTGCATACATACAAATACATACTATATAATTTTAGTCATTTATACCTAAATAAATGTACATTAAGCATATATTTCTCCTGTTAAACGGGTTTGTCGACATGTCATCATTCCATCTTCTACGGTACCCGTCGGCCCCTCGAACAGACTCTCCAAAGTGTTGTGAATGGATCTCTAAAATGCCCCTTTGTTCCACATAGTCGAAATTTTTACGCCGTATAAAAGCACGGGCATAATTTTAAGGGGCTCTTCTTTTTAATCTGATCTCTACGCTGATACTATTGATGGCGGTAATGCTTCCAATACGCAAAGATATTTTGCCTTGTCATCGTTCAAACCGCTCGCCAAACCGCTTTAGCTGCGTAGCTGGGCCTAGTGATGAGGCCGATGATCGTGCTTCTGCTACAAAAGGTGCTGCTTTCTTAGACGGGGAACTCTTATTATGTTTTCCAACATCAGATTAAAAAATTCGCCTGGAAATGAGTAGTCTCGTTTGGTCTCGTACGGCGCCAAAAAGGTCCTACCCAATTTAGACGGAGCTGACAGTTGTCCTCAACAAGACTCTGCATAGCCGTATTAGTTTTGCGAGAATTCCAAATCATGACATGGCTTCGTAGAGGCTGCTTATTTTTTTACAGCCAACCGAATTTGAAGTCGATGAAAAAGTTAGGCAAAAAAATTGGTAAATCTTGGATTTCCCAGGCCTGAAGCCACACAGATAACGCCCGAGCAATTCTTCAGACGGCCTATCCCCCGATGAGTTGTTCTTCATCAATCTCTCCACCTGCGTCGTCATTAAAAAGCTCCGCATTGACTATTGCGAATACGAATGCGAATGTTAAAATTAATGCGGAAGCTCCGCGGTTGCGAATGCGAATATTCGGAACAACGCTGCTTTTGATTACCTTTTTACAGTTGAGCCTAAAAGTGTTGAGGCCGAAAGATGTTTTTTATGAGCAGGTTTTGTATGTAACAAGCGCAGGTCATGGTTAGAAGACCACTTTAAATACTCTGCTGCTCTTACGTACACATTTTAAGTGCAATAATAACAACAGCGGCACAAAAAAAAAGAGTTTTGTGCTTCTCACCAGACCCACCCACCGACATGTATTTCGACAAGGTGAATACGAATCTAAGGTCCGATTGACACCCTCAAAATTTATCGTAAATTTTAAATAGTTTAATTTCATGGTATGTTTAAATGCTTTCAGATATTGAATTCTTCCTCATATTCATAAAAATTATGACTCAATGACGGGATTACTGAAAAAATATCCCGAAATCCCGGGATCACAATTTTCCTCATATTTTGGCATCCCTAGTGCTAATAATATGTAGGAAAAACTCCTTATGTTACTTTTAATTCTGAAAATTTCTACGGATTTAATTAAGTCCTCTCATTTCCTCCTATGCATTTCCCGTGACAAGAACTCCTAATACGATTTCGTGAATTACTTGACAGGACCAAAGATCTGTAAAACGAAGTACATCATTTCGATAGTACATTTTAAATTTTACACTCTGATATTTATTTGTAACACAAAACTTTAGGTGATTTCCTGAAATTAGCTATTTGCACTCAATGCTTGCCTAAGAATTAATTCTATATAAAATCAAATTCCAAAGATAAATATTCTAGAGAATATCTGCATTTCTACATATGTAAATACATACAAGGCATATTTTCTGCCTTTCATAACAACACAATCTTATTGCAAAATTCAAAGGTATTAAGTTTTCCACTTGACTTATATTATACAGTTAATACGAGTACAAATTAATTACAACCAAAATTTAAATGCAATTGAGATGAATAATTTCCGACAAACAAATTAAAATAAGAAAAAAACTCTTTTGCGAAGAACGCAATTTGCAATCCAATGAACTGTACATTTTGTATTATTTTTTATTTCACTGCATCTAAATCACAAAGTGCTTTAATAAATTATGCAATTTCCATAACATTGTTTTGAACATTTGTATATGTATGTATTTGTGTATTTGCTCTTTCCTCTTCAAATACATGCAGCTTGTGGAAGCTTTATCCTATTTACACTATTCGGGCCACGTTATTCATCGAAATGTATGTCCATCATCGATATTAGTTACCAAGCGTGGTACCTGGAAGCTGGCTGGCTTAGAATTTATTGGTAAGTCTTTTATTCATTTGGAATAAAATTTATTGGATTTATGATATGCATATGATTTTACTTTTAATGTCGTCATGCTATAGGATGTAGTATGTATGTATATGTAGATAAATCTATGTACATTCAATTGATTGTACATATGTGACTCGGAGCATGCGATACTTTTTACTAAACTGAAATATATTTCACCATTCTATTGCGGGAAGTTTTTCAAATCCACAGAAATTTTATCGATGTATGTAGATACAGATATGTGGTGTGAAGTTTGATATCCGTGCAGATAGCGTACGGAATGACGCAAAATAATGTTTTTTATCGACGTAATTTTGCAGAGCTTTTTTCCTTTTTCCTCTAAAACTATTGGAGAGCTACTCAGAACAGTCTTATTTTATTTTTTAACATTAAACTTTCGCCTTTTTTGAAATTTTTTTTCAGGGAAAATTTTGCAAGACATTTTTCTTCCTTTGCACAATTGAAAAGCTACTCAGAACAGTTCTAATTTTATATTTTTCAAACATTAAACTTTTTTGCCTTTTGGAACAATTTTTTTCCGCGTATTTTTGCAGAATTATTTTCCCTTTTAGGAACTCTAGAACTGTTGAAAAGCTACTCAGAACAGCTTAATTTTTTTTTTCAAACATAAAACCTTTTCATCTTTTTTGAAATTTTGTTTTTCAGTGTAATTTTGCAGAACTTTTTTCCTTTTCAGGAATTCTAAAACTACTGAAAAAGGTCTAAATTTTTTAAACATTAAACTTTTTCGTTTTTTTTTTTGTTTTTTTTTCTGCGTAATTGTGCAGAATTTTTTTTCTAGAACTCTAGAGCTACTTAGAAGCTAGTCACAACAGTTTACCTTTATTTAAAACCTTTAAGTTTTTAGTATATTAGAAAAAATTAATTTTTTCGTCGTTATTTTGCAGAATTTTTTATATTGTTTTTCAAAAACCCTAGATCTATTGAAAACATTAAACTTTTTATATTTTTTTGAAAAAAAAAAATGTTTTTTTGCGTAATTTTGCAGAACTTTATTTTTGCTTTTCAGAAATTCTAGAACTATTGAAAAACTAGCCAGGAAAGTTAAAGTTTTTATTTCTTATCTTTGTTTATCTTTTTTGAAAAAAAATCGGCGTAATTTTGCAGAATTTTTTTCCTTTTCAGGAACTCTAGAACCATAAAAAAACTATTCAGAACAGTTGAAATTTCTATTTATTTCAGAGATTAACCTTTTGTTACTACTGGAAAAGTGTTGGCGTAATTTTGCAAAACTTTTTTCCTCTTCATGAATTCTGGAGCTATTGAAAAGCTAGTCAGAACAGTTAAAATTTTAATTTTTTTCAAACATTGAACTTTTTCGGCTATTTTTGAAAAAAATTGGCATATTTTTGCAGAACTTGTCTTCTTTTCAAGAAATCTAGAACTATTGGAAATCAACTCAGAACAGCTTTTCTTTTGTCTTTTTGCGTCATCCCATATGCCAACTTCACAGACATTAAAATTTGTTCTTAATCTTAATCAAAATGGAAATACAACATCGAAGATCAGAATCACTAGTAATGATGTAGAAGTGTAGTTTTGTATCTCCTTTACTGATTAGCAAATGCTGGAGAATCTAGTGAGCTTCTTAGGTGAACACAATGGAGACCGAAGAAGATTCTTTTCCCATTTAACCCTTCTGCAGTGTTTTGAATAAACCCGTTATTGTAATGTTTTGGGTCAATTTGACCCAATGACACAAATTAGTAATTTTTAAGAAAAAAACGGTATTTCAATTTTAATTCAGTTAAAATTTTATTTATCACATGCAGACACTTTATCGGCAAGTGCTGTATGCTTACCGATTCAAAGTTGTCCTTAAATACTAAATACTAATTTGGCTCAAAATGGCCCAGAAATACTGTGGGTGTATGGAAAAACTATGTCGCCTTCTAGAAAACAAACTAAAATAAAAAATATTTTTTGAAAAAACCATAAATGATTATGCTTTTAACGAATAAACAACGTAGCAGCTTTACCTGACTCTGTAACTAAAAAATTTTTTCATGAAAATTGGGTCTTTTTGACCCAATCATTGCAGAAGGGTTGAACTAGTTCTCAAATGGACCACTTATTTGGAACTAATTACAAGGTCAAAGCCGAAAGTTAGAAACTGATGAGCCATATATATTTTCTGGTACAGCTTCGGTGAATTCCAGTAAAAAAGGCCAAGTGGCATTGCCTGCTGCTTGCGGAAATATTTTATAGTGAAAGAGGACAAGCAAAGTTTCGCCTGAGTGATATATAAAGGATTACCACCTATCAAAACACGACTATATTTGCAGACACAACTTTTGGAATGAAAAAGATTGTATCATAGGTGCCATTTACGCTCAGCAGCCGGATTCTAACATGTGCTGTCGCTAATTTTGATTGCCAAAAATCTCCAAAAGAATAGCAGATGCCACTAACAACACGCAACATCTAGATGCATGCCCGCCACACTGCCAGATTTGGCTGATTACGCATCGCATGTGTTACTCTTCCATGTTCTATACTTTTAGGTCCTACTCATTTCATTTTAGCGACGAAAATTTACCGTAACGATTGTCAGAACTCCACTGCAGTAGTCAATTGAATAGAAAAAAGTTGACGATGTTGCAAAGATATGAAAGCATGGGCGTCCGCAAAAAATTTTAGTAAAGAGAAATTCGCTGCCCGAGATTTAGAGCCCAGATATCTCGAATGGCACGCCAGTGCTTTGCTCACACAGTGAGGATACTAGTGGTAGAAAACACAAGATGCCAACAGAACACGAATCAAAATCGATTTTATACTGACTAGCTAGATAACAAAGTAGACGAAAGATTATACGTTGATCAACACAGAATTATGGCGTAATTTCATCTTCCAGACCATTGTAGTTATTAATTATTATTATTTATTATTAATCAACAACAAACAGGATGTTTACAGACTATATGATAGTTACATACAAAGACCTTATGACAAGAGCCTTACAAGTAGACTTAGATTATGAGAAATCAAAGTCTAAGGAAGAAGAATACGCATTAAACTGCGCCAGCGTCCTCCTAAAAGGACAGTTTTAGCTATACCCACGAAGAACAATTCATTACAGCGGAGAATGCGTGAGGGAACATTAAAATTAATTTTCATGAGCAGGTACGGACAATCTATTGATCCCGCACAGATATCAAAGACAAAACACATCGACAACATAGCACGCCTAGACTCTAAGGACATGAGGTTTATTAGTGAGCAACGAAAGCGATAGGACGGAATGGGATCTACAAAATTCATCGAGCGCAAAGCAAAGCGCACAAAAGCTCGCTGAACAGACTCTAATCTATTAACATGGACTGCATGAAACGGTCTCCAAACGAATACCGCGTATTCTAACCTGGACCGAACTAAGGACGAGTACAACAGTTTGAGAGTATGGGGATCAGAAAACGAAGAACAGTTTCGACGAATAAAGACTATACTAACTAGAAGCTAATGTCAAATAGCAGGTAAAACCAATTTATATCTTCGATAGTCAGGCTGGCATAAAGGCAATTGATTCCGTATCTGTTATGGGTACCAGGACTGTGAAACATATCAGGGAACGAGAAAGGAGACGAGCTTGCTAGAGAGGGTACTTCCACACCACTCTTACCGGCCTGAAAGAGGTGCAGCATGCCGCACATTTCCTGTAAATTAATGATTGTGTTACAAGTCCTAAAACAAGCGCGTACGAAGTGGGAATATGCTAGTACCTGCAACACAGCCAAGTTCTTTATAATAGAAGAGCTTTTCTTTTTAAAAGAAGGGAAGTATCGTCAGCTATGAGCCTTTTTACGGGCCACATTCATATAGGCGGACACACAGAGCAGTTAGTACTGCTGAGAGAACTGTTGTGAGAGTGCTTAACATGCAGTAGACCACCCAAGTTTTTTGGGCGCAGAATTTTTAAACAATCTAACCCCAGAAAACGGCAACCGCTGAAATTCGTTGACTATACGAATTGCTCCAATGGGGAGTAGGCGTTTGGAGAGCTCTGTGGTATCTCCAAGGGCCCAATTTTAGACCAATGTGTGCTGGTAGTAATCTATCATAAATAAGGTACCTTAAGTCATAGTATTTGGGAAAATGATGTGTAAAACTAGAAAATTTCCACCTCAAGTTTTCCATAGATCAAAACAGAATAAGTTCTTCTCAGACAAATTAAAAAAGCAGAACTTATCCAAAACAGAAACGAGAGGTACTCGAACGTTAATATCGACAATACCATATGCTCTAGTTTACGGCAATACTAGCGACCCCCGTATTTCTCATGTATGTAAATTTAATTCGAGTTTGAATAAATTTCGTCTAATTTAGAAATCTATTTTTATTTGATGTTAAAATTATTTGCAACTAAAATTGAATTTGTGCAGTTTATTTTATATATGTACGTATTTTTATATTTTTGCATTGTTACAGAAAGAATGAATGAGACTGATGTAAATGAGTTAGTTCCTTGTCAACCCTGGAGTAACAGGGTTTCAAAAATGGCTCAACCAAATTTGGATTTTATGGGTAAGCATTATAGATACTGTTGCTAATTTATCTTTACCATAAAAGTGTTATTATTATTATAAAAGTGTTTATAAAAAACTATATTTTTGGAGGTATTTTAAAATCGGTCCAGCTCACGTAAATCTGAATATTTTTCCCCAAAAATTATTATTAATTTTAAGTGTAACAGTCCGATCATTTATCCTTAAGTGACAGAATACTTGCGACTGGTCGGTATAAATTCAGAGTTTCCGAAAGAGATTTAGTTGTTTTGTTAAAAAATGTACTGTACTGTAGGGTTACCCTTTTTTGTCGGAACCAGGCACAAAAAACGTGTGCTGAAAACAGCCCATTGTACTTACCCTTAATGCTGTTTCACACGCTTCAGTTTCCGGTTAACCGACAGCCGGTTTGGCGCCAGAAAGTGTATGTATACCTATCTGAGGTCTCACACCAGCCGGTGCCTGGTTGCATACATTTTATGCGGTCGATTTGACTTTTATTTGGTATGCTAACGATCTATATTTTTGCACTTTATTTTGCTTAATATTTTTGGTTTTGAACACGAAGAAGGGAATACGAAGGCAACTACCAATATGAAAACAAATACGAAGGCCAAGACCAATACTAACACGAGTAGCAAAAGGTATATGGAGACGAATACGAACACGAATCTGAAGAATATCCGAAGACCAATACGAATAAGGAGATGAAAACGAAGACACATACGAAGGTGTTACGAATACAAATATAAAAACGAAAACAAGTATGAACACGAATACGAAGAGGAATATGGGGTTGAAAGCGAGGTTGAATATGAATAGATAGACCAACCAAAGACAAATGGAAGCACAAATGTGAAAATGAATAGCAAGATGAATTCGGATACGAAGGCAAGTACGAATATGAAGATAAATACGAAGAAGAGGACGAATACGAAGATGATTGCGAAGACGAATACAAAGACCGCACTAAAACGAATACGAATACGACGACGAAGGTACGAATACGAATAGGAAAACAGCGCCTAAAGCGAATAGGAAAGTGAATTCGAAACGTACTATGTATACGCATATGAAGGCAGCGACTAAAAGGAAGGCGAAAACGTGTTCGGGACCCTTAAAAGAACTAGAAAATGGCCAATTTTCGGTATTAATTGGTACTCCTTGAGGTCTTTGCATTGCAAAGAAAGTGCTGAAGAAGCTAACGAGCTAGCCAAAGAGAGCGTTCTCTTTGGCATTGCTAACAGGGTATTGTGTCCTAGGAAGTGTAACCGTGAAATTTAACTATCACAAAGGCCGAAAGTGTCTAAAAAGACGCCAAAGAAACGAAATGTTCTTCAGCATTACATTTGTGGGTCGTAAACGTATGTGGCAACATTATGGACATTATGTATCTTCGACTATGTGAGATCTTTTGTAGGCAGCCAGCATAAACTAACATAACCTAAGTTGTGTACTAAATCTTAATAACCTTTAAATTGATGAATAGGTTGTTACCGACACTTGGAATCAATTTCACTGGCTAAAGATATGACTCAGTTTGTATTTCATAGCAAATTGTTATTTGTTTGAAGCAAATACAACATAATGTGGGTGTTCACGCTTGCTTGGTTACCCCGTAATCTGGTGAAAAATTATTATTCCATAATGTATTTTATTATTGTAAGGTTAATAAAAAGTATAACGACATAACCAGATAACCAGATAACCTGATAAGTAGACAGGTGTGATACATACTAACTATATCGTCGATGTTTTTGCAAAACCACCCATCGACCAATTGCATAACCGCCTATCTTACGGTACTCAAACTTTACAGGAGAGCGTAAAACCGGGGTTTCTTTGAAGACATTGCCTTGATAGGCGGTATATTCTCTAACTATTATTTTGCAAATCTGTTGTTTTAATAACGATTTTATGATTTATGCCATTTGCTCTTTTTTCCCACAACAGCGATTTAGGCGGCTTTGCAAATGGGCGATGGGCGGTTTTGCAAAAACATCGACGATTTCTTTCTTACAATTTCGCAAAATAACTTAATCGACCAAGTCTAATGTACTTTTAAAATTTTTTCTTGCCAAATAAGGCCAAATAGCAAATTGATCCTTAATAAATGCACATTGTATACACTTACATTTTAAATTTATTTATACATTGCTCTTGCGCTTTTGCAGCTCCCGAGACTCAATTAACTTCGAAGGGCAGCCTACTTAGTGATATGTTTTC